ACTGCGGGGAATCATGCAAAAAACGCATCTTCGCACGGGCAGCCCGTGCGTTGGCCAATTATTAATTCTGCGCCGAAGCGTGCCCCTGCTTGAGATTTTGGCATGCGAAGAAGCTGAATTTGATTTTGAGGGTTCACATACGAGTGGAGGACACTCTCCTGAAATTTCGGCTTCCTAACTTTCCTGCCTCCCGGATTAACGTTTTTTGTGCCAAAACTTTCATGTGTTCGTAAAAGCTAAGCGCAAATGGTGAATTTAACTAAACGGGGTCATATATGGGCAAGGGACGTTTTCCCAAAATTCCGTGTCATGCTTTCTGTGCTGCGTGGAGTTACTAATTTGGGCGTCAAGACCTCCGCGTGGCCGTTTGTGAGGCCTAGGTGCGCGCGGTCGTTAAGTTTACAAGATCACAAGCGGGTAGGAGCCTCCTTTGAGATTTCAGCTTCCTAGTTTTTCTGGTTCTCCAATTGAAACGCCCGAATAAAACGCATCCGGAACACACACATACACAAACATACAACAGAGACAGCGTTTTGAGTGACTGTTGTAGCACAAAGCGTATAAAGAACAAAATAGTGAAACAGCCCTCCACAGTTGTAAAACCAAAATTCTGGTGTGACCTCCTACCCACCGGTGTTCCTAAGAACGAGGCTCAGAGAAGGGTTGGGGGAGGGGTAACGTCAGCTGCATTGACCGTTTTTAATGCGCGATCGGTGAGTCCCCGCACGAATTCTTTCTTGATCTTTTTGCCGCATGTTAATAATCTTCGAAAGGAAAACGGCCCAGTGATTTCAAAAGGAAACTGATTAACAACAGTTGTGTGTTCCATTGTCTGTATTTCCGTGCTCTCGGATATTTTAATCGCAGTCAAGCACAATCACACAGACAGCAACAATAGTAGTTGTTTCGTTATAGTTCCATTTAGCTTCACCAAGTCTTATTTTATGTAAGCAACGGCGACTTATGCGAGATTTAGACTCCATCGCTTACGTTCAAAAAACTTTCCAAACTGTCCCATCCTCACTGATCGTTAACGCTTTCGGGATCGGATCCGCTTTCGGATTCGGAGAGGTACTCCGAATTCTGGACCTCAGTTTTCTCCATTGCTCTGCACATTGATAATTTAATCAGGGCCCGTATTTGTGGATCACTGGCCACATCGATTGGCTGCTTTCTTTCATTGTTGTGTACTAGCGCATTTGCACCATGTTCCAGTAAAGTTTTCACACAGTCGAGATGGCCTTTCCACGAAGCCGCGTGCAATGCTGTATCGCCGATTTTATTCTGCAACAGGAAACCAAGGTATGATCTTATTTGGACAGAAAACTAAGGCACGATTGCCCACCACAACGAACTGACTAAGAGGATCACCAAATCGTTGACGGTCAAACTATCCATAACTGCTCTACTTCTGAACAGTTGCTTACTTCAGTAATTCTGCGAAAAAGATGATAAGTCACTTAGAATAAGGATTTGTTCGTAGCAGTCTGATTCGATTGTGGCAAATAGTCATACCTGTTTAGTTTAGCCCGGGCTACAGCGCATCAGTCTTGTAGTGCAATCATGCGTTTTCGCATGATTCCATTTTATTGAGAAATCTCCTGTACTGATAGGGTGTAACTGCGGGATTGCTCATGCGCCTGTACACACAGTCCGTGCCTAGACAGAAGCTCATCTTATGTTTGATGGCTCGCACATGAAAAGTAAACAATGTCGGAAAAAATACTGCTTCTTCCTCATTCTGATTAGGTGTCAGCAGTGTTCAGAACTAAATATCCACTTAGGCGCACGATATAAGCACGCCTTAAAGCTTAAATTGAAATATTTCGTGGAAAATCCTCGTAAAGTTTCAGTGCCCTGGCATGCAATGGTTAGCGAAATCGCCCTTGTTATGCGGAACCTTTACCGTAACGGAACTCGCGACACGGATGTATGCAAGCCAATGAAATGCTTACATATGCCGAATCTGAGCTTGGAATCTTTAGCTCACACAAAAACGTGGAATAAATCCATCGAAATTTCAGTTTTCTCTCTTGTCTGGTTCTCAAGATCGCTTTTTTGCCAGAAAATTTACATAATTCTTTTAGGCTTCCGTACTTGAGACTCAAGTGTACGCGAATGATAATATTAAAACGGGAGAGTCGCACATGCGGTGGGCACATGCTCCTAAAGTTTTAGCTTCCTAGCTCCTCTGGTTCTTGGGTTGAAAGTGGATGCGAATACACATGCACGAATACACACACACACACACACACGCACAACCTCCTGCCAGTGTATCCAAGAACGCATAAAAACAGAAAACCGGCACTGAAGGGGCGTTAGCCATCTAAAATTCACTAGCGCAAAGTGTCAGAACAACATTTAAGGGGCTAATGCCAGCTTTTGCAAGCTCTGGCAAATAAAAAGAGGGCAGCTTGCAAAATGCCAGCTTTTGCAAGCTGCCCTCTTTTTATGCGTTTTTTGCAGCCATGCAATGCAAAAAACGCATATTGACGAGAGGTTGTCTGTGTGT